CGCTATTCTTTTCATATTTTTTTAAAATCAGAAGAGAAGAAATAAGGGACTGTGAATAAATGTTCCCTTAAGAAACAAAAATTCACTGAGGAGGTGAAGAAAACTGGAAGGTGCTGGGCGCGGGGCACCAGCACTGCTGTGGAGGGAGGAGTAACAAAGGAGGAGCAGCTGGGAGCGGCTGCCCTCTCTCCTTTATCGCATTCTTCAGGAACAGTACAGAGTCATGATCAGGAAAAGCAAAGGGATAGCACCAACTCAGTTTTATAGTTGGAACTAAGACTGGAAATCTTTAGCCATTAGAAACTTGGGAAAAATGAACCAGGCTAAATCTAGATACACTGATACAGCAAAAAGGCCCACCTGTATTTTATACCTTTGCCATTTTAATTTCCTCTACTGAAGTAATTTTAATGCCCAGACAAGAAGGAAAAAAATGCATTTGTACTCTGGACTCTGCTACCTTTGATTCCTTTTTTTTTTCCCCTTGACCCTTGTATTTTGTTTACCAAGGATAGAGACAAGGAATATCAAACTTTAGTTATAGCATAGACACCTTAAAGAAACATAATTATAGTTATTTCATGTTCTTTCTCAAAATTCAAACCATCAAATAAAAACAGGGGATTAAAATACAAAGTAAATAGAATCAAACCTTCTGTTACTAAGTGGTTTTCTATTCTAGATGAGTTAATTTCTTCCCCCAAATATACTATCTTATCTTGCTCCCAAAGTTTGAGAAGACTGAACTCTTAAGTTTCATTTCTCCTCAGTGGTTCTTAGGCAGTGATTACTCTTCTTTGCTAAAATACATGAAGGGCTACAGAACTTCGTCAAGATCCATTCAGAACAGGCAAGACAAGCACATGTCAGGAGAACTAAGCCTGTTACCTTTACTAACGCCTTTACTATTGTATCTAGGACTGACTACTAAAACAAACAAACAAAACAACAACGACCACAAAAAAAACTTGCTGCCACTTACCAAGGGCTTCTCTCCTCTGTAAAAACAATGAAGCTGCTTTCAGAACTTTCTGCCTCTCTTTACTACCACTTTCCCCCTTTACAGCTAAATTTCAAACAGATGATGTACACTTTTTGGAAATGCTTTGTGTTAGCATCATCACGAACATCTTTCCATGTCAGCAATTGTAGTTTTCTAGTGTTCCATAAAATCTCATTGAGTGGTTGTATTATATTCACTTGGTGAACTATTTAGAACAATTGCTTAATTTTTTCTTTACAAACAATGCTGGAATGAGCATCCTTCCAGGTAAATCTTTGCACACTTCCTATTATAGTAGGACTAATTTTCAGACATGGAATGTTAGGTCAAAGGATATGCCTTTTTTCAGATTTCAGGCTTATTTTCCATTACTGAGCATTTTATTGCCGTGTAAGATATGTACAGAAAAGTTATCATAACTGTGTAACTTGATGAGATTTCACAAGGTGAAATCCACACGGGTAACAAATCAGAATATTAATAGAAATCCAGAATGCACGAGCACTTTCTTCTCTTCTTCTACTCTTCTCCTCCTTCTTTCTTTTAGACAAGGTCTCCCTATGTAGTTCACACTGGCCTTAAACTTGCAATCCTCCTGCCTCAGGACAGTGCTGGAATTACAGGGGTATATCACACACTCAGTTTAGTGGCTACCCTGAAGTGCAACTAATTCCTAATTTCTAAAGCCATAGTTTAGTTTTGTTTGATTCTTTACCTTATATAAGCAGAATCACATATTTATAATATTGTTTCTAGTTTTCTTTTGGGTACATGTATTTAAAATATTTGGTAGTGCAATGGGAAGTCTCTAATTGAATGTGTATTCTTGACCTGTCAGCATAATTCGTACATTCACCATTCCTCCATCTTGAAATTTTTCTCCTTTCTTATCCATGACAGTTATCTCTTGACATTCCTCCCATCTTCTAACGCTCCTCCTCCTATTCCAGAGCCTTCTCCTTCACTCACCTTAAATACTCAAGGTCCAGTTCTAGACAACATCAACCAAACTCATAGCCTTTCTTTCCACTTACATCCTGATGACTCCTAAATACATATTCATATCCTAGACAACTTCTCTGAGGTTCCAGTTGTTCCAAACCTGGCATGTCCCAATGTTTCTGATCTCAGTGCCACAGGTTTCACAGCACAAACCAGGAGCATCCTTGATATCTGCCATTCCCCAAGCCTCACAGTCACTAAGCCACTAAGTCCTGACAACTTTTTCAGTAGCTGTTCACTTTTCACTATCAGCATTCTACTATTATCCCTTCCTAAGATTATTGCCATTCAATTAATTTAGTACCAGGCTAATACTCTGTTTTAAACTGTTCCTTGGTTTGTAATGTATCACACTGAAGAGTTTCCTTAACTCAGCAAAGAAAGCCCTACTTTGATGTGATCCCTTACTTCTTGAGTTCTCTCTCTGTCCTCTAGACATTTCTGAACATATTTCTTAAAAGCATTTGAAACAGGGTTCAAACTTGAGCAATTATACCCAGTAAAGTTATCTAGAAGATAAAAGTAATAAAATATGGTTATACATGCAATTTGGTACAAAAACCATTTTTTTTCAAGGTATGATGTCCATTGTTGGAGTGGAGATGGAAAATTCAGAAAGAACTGAGATGAACAAATATATCACCTTCAAATGGTTTCAAGCTGCTTAAGAGGTTAATTAACACAATGACTAACAGTACAGGGCAGTTATACAGTTGGTTTGGAATCCAACACTCAGGTTCTAGCCATGATTTCACTGAAAGTCTACATAACTCTTAGTGAGGCTACACTAAGCCCAGAACTCATCTCAAGGATTAAGTTATAAACATCAAATATTTAGCACAACTGTCAGTATATAGTTGAAAACTCAATAAATATAGCCAGGTACTAGTGGCTCATGATTGAAATCCTAGCCACTCAGGAGGCAGAGATCAGGAGGATTGTAGTTTGAAGCCAACCTGGGTAAAATAGTTCATGAGACTATATTTCAAAAAAACCCATCACAAAAAATAGCCGGTGGAATGGCTCAAGGTATAAGCCCTGAGTTCAAACCCTGTAACTCAAAACAAAACAAATAACAACAACGAAAATAATAGGCAAATTATCATGAGGAAGAAAGTAAGGCTATAATAATGTGAGCACACACGAGGCAGGAACAACCCTTGCTGAATCAAAGATAAAGATAATAAGCATCCCAGCAGCAGACGTTAGACCATCTTCTCCCAAGAGTTTGTGGACTCTTGTTGTGCTGCTTGTCCCTCTGGCACCAAGGATAAGTTTCCAGGTAGCCACAGGGTTAGGATGACCTAAGCATGTAATCACTGGGAAGGAGTCTTATTTTTTTATTAAAGTGTGGTCTATATCAGCCAGTTTTTTTTTTCTTTTCTCAGAATAAACACCAATGCTTTGGCTTTTTCTTTTTCTTTGTGGTCAGTATTTTGTAACCTACATAGGCATAATAAGAAAGCCCTACTTTCTATATGGCTAAGTGAACTTTACCAAGTCCAGACAAATCTAACCATTGTGTTTATATCTGTTTGTATTACAAGTGGAGGAGGCAGCTTGTGCTCATTACCTCTTCCCTAACTGTCCTGGAAGAATACAAAGACAGTTGGAACCCAAATTTAAAACAAATAATGAAAAGGACAGAAGAAGAATAAAGTATCCATTAAACTATTTAAACATTTAAACTTCTTTTATAAAAACAATACGTGATGTAATGAAAAGAACAGATTAAAATCAAAATTACAGAGTTTTGGATTTGCCTTCAGCCCTGACCATATACAATATCATCTTGAAGAAATTATTTACTTTCCCTGGACTTCAAAGTCCTCCTGTGTGATGTGAGGGTTAAAGTTTTTTATATTCTTAGAATTCTAGGAGTATATATTTATGCATATAGAAAATGCATAAAACGTGATAGCTATGTGTGTGTGTATCTCCCAGACTGACCTAGAACTTACAGTAGACCAAGCTGACTTGGAAATTCTTATGTAACCCAGGCTAACCTCAATTATTTGTGATCTACTTGTCATCCTCTTGTCTCAGCTTCCTGACTGCTGTGATTATATCAGGCCCCATCATGCCTGGTCTATCTATCTATATCATCTATTTATCTCTGTATATTAGCATTTTAATACCTGCATACATACCTATATGTGAATCTCAGTCTTTTTATGAAAATGAAGATTATAATAAAAGGAGCTGGAGTAGTTCACGGCTAAGGTGTAATCCTACGTTGATGTCTGTTTATAGACTTGGAATGCCCACATCTTCATCCATTCAAGGCAACTGAGATACGGGAACTTTTTGGAAATGCAAATTCTCAGGCCTTACCCTGTAGGTACTAAGTTAGGAACTGTGTGTGGGAGGGGCCTCGTCATCTGTTACAACCTGTCCTCAAGCTGATTCTGAAAAACACTAAAATGTGAGAACCGCTGCATTTGAACATTCCCAGGGAAGATCTATAGCCTAATACAATAGGCAGCAGTGGCAAGCCAGGAATCAAAGTGGACAATGCCAGACACTCTACAGAAAACTTGGAGCTAAGATTGGTAAGACATAGCAGAAGAGGGTAGGGGAGTTTTATGGCAGTGGGGAAGGGGTATGGTTGGGAGAATACTAAGCAGAGGCATAAGCAACACTAATAAAGCAGTAGCCACCCGGCCCCTGTGTTAAATCACTTTTTCTCAGGTAATCATTTCTGCTACTAGCCATCTGCTGCTGGCTTTAGAAATTTCTTCCCTACAGGGGGTCCTAAAGGGGAACAAACGCCCTCTGTTCTTAGGCAAAGCTCCCCCTTACCCCTAAAGTTATTTATGGTAGAAATAACTTTATGAGACAGGAAGGAGGTTTCTCAGGATGATTCTGGATGTCTTTTCCACGTCCTTCAACATCACAAGGGTCTCCTGAGTCCAGGATTCATTCTCACCTAACTGACAACTAGGAGCATATATTGGTTCTGGGAAAGTAAGAAAATTCCTGGAGTCTCTCTGGGCTATAGGTGAGCTTGGCCAGAGACAGGTGCAGCGGTTAGAATAAGCCTATAAAAACGACAAGGCAGAAACTGAGCATTAACACTCTTTAAGAGGTTTATAGAGGCCTTGTTGTCATCCAGGACATTTCCCTGAGAGGGGAATCCCCGGCTTTGCAGCTTCCTGGCCAGTGTGAGGGCCACCAACCTGCTATAACCTTTCCTGCGATGCTCAGGCAGGGTGTAGCCATGGCACATGGTGGCAAACTGGTCTGTGATACCCCAAGACACTGGGTTTCCCTTGTCATCACGGACACACACACTGGGGAAGCAGGAGATGAGGTTGGCAATGTATCTGAGACACTGTTCATTGCTGCCCCTTGACCATGTCCTGTTGAGCAGATCAGCATCAGCCACACTCAGGTAGGTGAGCCGTGGTAAAGGGCCTGTTCTAGAAGAAAAGTGACATGAGCAAAGTGTGAGCCCACTTTTCCTGTGACTGTAAATACTCAAAATGAAAAGCTATCTCTGAGACTGTGCCTAGTATTTTCAACGAGTTGATTTCCCACCATTCGCCACTTCACAATCAACTTCCAGGACTTCATTTCTGTAAGATGAAATACTTACACCAAATCTAAGTCTTTCCTTCAATTTTATGCCCACTTGTTTTTGTCCTCGGTACAGATTAAGGAAAGTGATTCTGTTGCTAAACCATTTTAAGTTTGGCCTGGGGCTGCTTCCATCCCTTCAGTCCCTAAGATGTGAACTGCATCTAACTTAGATTTTGGTTTGTTTACATACTACCTCAGGAGTATAACAGACAGCCGACTTTCAGCCAATTACAAGCAGATAACTGCTTGGGATTATTGCCAAAGATGGCAGATACCTGGCTCTAGCCAATCAGGTAATTTCTCTACTTTGTTCCTGCCCCGAACTATCACATTGTTGGATAGAGTTGTTTGAATCTCGTTTAGTTTTGAGTGCTGCCGGATTCATGAATCATCCTTTGCTCAAAGAAGCTCTGTTAGAGTTAGCTTATCTGATGTTTTTCTTTCAACGCAGTCATTGTGTAAAAAAATCTCAGAATTTCTCTTTAGTCTTGAATCCTTACCTCAGGGAGTCCAGGTTCTTAAAGCCCTAATCTTTTGCTCAATGAAAGAAATAGTTTAGCACTTAGGATACTTCTGCCTTTACATATCTATGGCCAGGGAATAAATACAAGTTGTTTAATATGCCAGGCATGAGAACATACTCTGGAAACATTACTCTTCCAGGCCTTCCCTAGACTGCTCTTCTGCAGATTAAATATTCTCATTTTTTTCCATGGCTGATTTTTATAGGCCACTAGTCTTTGCTGCATTTATTCTAGTGCTACGAAAGCTTCTAGTAATTTACTATGTAAAATCCTTGATGTTAATGTAATGCAACTGATGTGATTTTTTTTTAAGAACTGAGATGATGGGACTATTTTAGAATAATTTGGGGGAGGAGGACACCAGGGAATAATTTTTCTATGACATGAAAATATAGGTATTCCATTTCTAACCACGGACGAAGACAGTGATTTGATTTTTAGGGAAATTATGGGTAGTGATGCACAGGAGAGAGGAAAAGATACACACACACACACACACACACACACACACACACACACACACACGCTCTTCAGGTTCAATGGCCCAAATTCCAAATGTGTAAATATTACTTAATGATATCAAACACTCTAGTTACTGCTATCTGGACCTCTCTAACAGTAAGTCCTGCCTTAAGTGCAGAATGTGATTCACATACAGGAAACTGGTATCCGGCAGAGATGAAACAGGAGAAAAATGAACAGCTTTGAAGGAAGCTAGCTTTATATCCAACTGCTTCGAATTGGCAACAGCTTTGGAAATATCATATAGCTCACTCTGAAGCCCTGTATAAAGACAGACATAAAAATGTGAGCATGTTATTTGAAAAAGGAAACTATGAAAATTTGGTTCATAAAGAATATCAACACCACCCCCAGTTTGCTCCCTCGTATTATTCCTAACCAATGTGTATTTCTAGATGAATTATTACCGAGATTCTTTTACCAGATTTTCAAGTTTTTGTGGGATTTTCAAATTCCCATCATATCCATTGTGGTCACTGGTCATGATCTTTCAAGGAAATTTCTGCCTCAAATATCTCATGGAAATTTAGAATTTCATGCAGGTTTTGTTTTTTTATTGCTCAGTCTGATATAAGACAACATCTTATATCTCTGAAAGTCTATGGTTAACCATTTAGCTAAAAGTGTAAGATTTTAGACTTGTTTAGCAACATGGCAAAACAACTATAGTTTCTGTTGCCAAAATGGCAACTATGGTATTTGGGATGCTAACTCGAGGTTGGTGAGACTTATTCTGAACTTAATTCTCTGAGATTCCCCTTATTTATCATAGCAATATTATTTAGAATTCTTTATTCAGTACTTGTACCTAAAGCACTGTTATGGGCACTGCTTCATAGTGGTACCAAAAAGTGGTATGACTTCTTTCTTTTTTTGTGGTACTAGTGTTTGAACCCAGCACATGCTAGGCAAGTGCTTTTACCACTTGAGCCATGCTCCTAATCCTTTCATTTGTATTTTGTTTTTGAGATATGGTCTCTCTGACTGCCAGGGATGGCCCTGAAATTGTGATCTCTTGCCGCCACCTGTACAGTAGCTGGCATTATGCACATAGCCTACCATACCTGGCTCTAGTTTCTGTTACTACGGAGTTTACAGCATGACTCCTCTCACTGAACCCTCATGTCCTCTTTCCTTTCCAATCTGAGTCATAATTAACTGAATCCTCTAGAAACTAGCTTTCCCTCTTTCTTCCATATCTACTGGCTAGTTTTCTCCTCTTTAGTGAGCCATTTCTCCTCACAGCCCTGAGACTTGATCTTGAAGAATACAAGGGTGGGAGGGCATATTGAATACAGTGTGATAGCTGAGCCTTGACTCCTCCCTCAGGAATTAATACCCTGAAAAGATAAGCAAATCTCCAAGTTAATCCTATTGAAATTAAAGATGCTATGGCTAACATTCCATGTTATAAAACTGAATTACTTTTAAGTAATTTGATGGATTTTTTTTTGACGTCAGGTCTCACTATGTAGGCCAGGCTGTCCTCTAACTCATGACCCTACTGCCCTGGCCTCTCAGTGCTGAGATTTACAGGTATGAACCACCACACCTGGGACTCAAAAGATTTTCTTTGAGAGAAAAATGAAGAGTACTAATCATAGCTTTTCTTACAACACTCTAATACAAAAATGGTAAATACATAAAATGTACGTATATGTTTGTATACACACATGAGCATATACGTGTTGTATACATGTGAAATACCTGTCTCTATTTCTCTGATATATATGATACAAAGGGGAAAGTGATGGCGTAATGTATGTCTTGCACTTGACCTCACCTTGTATTTGAAAAACCTGGTCCCAGTTAATGACATCATCTTCTTCCAAAAGTTGTTGGTAAGCCCTGACGTCCTTGTAGAATACAGCATAGGCATTAGTATAATGGTCAAGGTTATCTGTCTCAGCCTAGAAAAAAGGCATAGTCATAAAAACATAAATACATCCTCTGGATAAACCAAAACCTGAACAGATCAGCTATCATTCATTGGGCATGTCAAGCTAACTTCCATTATCAAAATTAGCCATGTAAAAATGATGACGTAAGAATGAGGTTAATATGCTTTACTGAGGAGAAATCTTGTGACTTTGCTTGATTCTTGCTTCTAGAATTAGAAAGGTTTTAAGACCACATTTTTTTCTAGGATTTTATTTATAAAAACAAAAAGGGGTTAAGTGTGGTGGTATGTACCAATAGTCCCAACTGAGAGAGGCTGTCAGGAGGCTGAGGTGAGAAGCCAGGAGGCAAGGAGTTCAAGGCCAACCTGGGCAATATATTTCAAAAACAAAAATTAAAAAGGGTTTTTTGGGGATGAGGCCCCGAGTTTAACTTCCAGCTCCACAAAAGCAAATTAATATTAAAATTATAAGAGGTAACTCAATGCTTCCAAACAGTAAGACTCAAAACTCTCTGAATCTTCCTGATGTTGACAGCAGCCCATCTTTGATCACTTGAGCTCAGTCTTTAGTCTCAGAGGCAGAATTGGACACGTGTCATCTTCCCCAATCATCTATTGACCCACATTACTGAAGTCATCAGTGACAGGAAACCATCTACCCCGTGGAAAATCTAAGATGTACAAAGCAGCCACCTGCACCTCATTCTTTAGTGAATATGAAACATGAAGGAAACACTTTTGAGTTAGAGGTCTTCCAATATGCTTGGAGCTCTGAATCCAAATCACAATAATGGTGAAATACATAGCATAAGAAGATAACATATATGACTACTATGGATACACTATACCCTTAACCTAATCTGCTCCTTCCTGTTGATGCTAATTTTTTTAATATTTTTAATTTGACTTTAGAAACTATACCTCTCTCTTTCTCCGGGTGATGACAGCTTTGAAGTCTGGCCATGAGTCCAAAACCACTTCCTTTTGAAAGGGATTTCCACGATTTATGTTCATCACTGCTCCATAAACCTGAAGCCGAAGAAGCCAGAGAGACAAACCAATCATACTACTGCCTCAGGTGTCTAATTCCCTCTTATTTTTTTTACATAGATTACTCTTTTAACTTTTTCTTAAAATGAGAACATATGCATTCATGGAGTACACTATGATAATGCAATATGTAGTGATCAAATCAGGATAATTCAAATTTACATCTCCTTACACATTTATTATTTGTTCGTGTTAAGAACTTTTGAACTTTCCTCTTTTTTTTAAATAAAATATTCACTTGGTTGTATAAACTAGTCACCTTACTGTGCCATAGAACAATAGTATTTATGTTTTGATCTACTATATAACCATGGGCATAAGAGGGAAAATTATAAATATATTCACACACACACACATATATATATATAATGTACATACGTGCAAACATCTTTTTTTTCTCTTTTGGCAATTGTGGTATGGGGTTGAACTCAAGGCCTCATGCTTGGTAGGAAGGTGCTATACCACTTGAGTCACTCCACCAGTCCCATGCAAACTTCTTTACAATTATCCATAAACATGAAAACTGGTAAAAAGTCTATTAAAGCCTACAAAAACTCTCTTTAAACCCACTTTTTTTAAACATTACAATGAGAGGAAGTAAACTGATAGGCTGGCTAGGTGAGTGCTATACATATAGGTCCACAATAAATATTTGCTGAGTGAATCTGAATTTGATGTATGGATTTAGTAATAACAGCTAAACATCATCTAGGATCAAAACAAACACAAAATAAAAACTTGCATTTCAGATTCAATGGAGAAAGTTTTCATAAGCTTTCCCAGAGGTCTCGTTTATTATTGTGTCCATGATGCTTGGTGACTGCACAATACTTGAGGAATATTAGAATTCTCTTTTAGATCTTTTCTGCTTTTTTCTTCATTAAGAAAAACATGTGTCCTAAAAAAAAATATGTGTGCTTATAGAGGTTATGGGGTTAGAGAATGTTGCGGAGGGAAAAGGACTGTTGAGTTACAGGCTTATATTCTCTGCCTTTTCATAATTAATAAAACCGGAAACAATCCAGTGTCTATCAACGGTGGAATGAACAAATTGAGGCATATTCCTACTGTAGATTCCAAACCACCAATGAAAATGATAGCTCATGGCTAAGTGGGATCTCTATGAATCTCCAAAAAAAGTTGAGAATAAAAAGCTGGATATAAAGGAAAATACTTATTGTGTGATTCAAATTTATATTACATTTAAAGAGTCAAGATTAAGTTATGGGATTGGAAGTCAGGAGAGTGGCCACTTTTAGGGAGCAGGGAGAGGTAGCAACTGGAAAGGAGTATTGGGGCTAGAGAGAAGCAGCATCTGAAACAATAGTTTTTCTCTACCACAGTGGAGGTTGCACAGGTATTTGCATTGTGAAAATTTGCCAAAGTGCATAATTATATTATGTGTACTTTACAGGGTGTGTTAGAGCTCAATGAAAAAAAATGTAGATTACAAGGCATTGGAACTTATATTTTACATCATTTTATCACTATCTCAACCCAAACCACGGAAATCTGTCACCTTTTAGAACAGCATACGAATTTCTTCTATCTTACTGAATCTGGAACCTCATCCAAATATTCTCCTATAATATGTGTTTCCAAATTGAGTTTGACTTATATTAGTGTATAACATTGATCAACCCTAGTGCAAATCCAGGAACATAGCCTGAAAGGGTCATGCTTGTTCTGTTAATCATTAAACTCTGTATTGTATGTACAGAGTAATGTCCATTAAAATGGTTTCCCATAAGGAGATTGTGCTTTCTTATTAGAAAATGTAGCCCAAATGGGATTGGAATGTTCTGAAGGTTGAAAGGGAAAACCTTTTAATACTCAGATTCTGAAACAAAAAAATCGTTTACATGATATTTGTAACTAACTGAAAGATTTTGCAATGGTTAAAAAAGAAACAAATTTTTCTGATAGCAACTTATTAAAAGGGTAAGTGTTGAAAACATGTATACGGGAATAGTTAGAAGGAAGTGAAATTGCAAATCAACAGAGGGTGTGAAGGAAATTTGGAAGGCTATTCAGTCACTTAAACACTGAAATACATAGCCATAAACTCCAAAGAATGGAGGAAAGGTATACAAACAAGACTGTATTTTCTTTTTATTAACTTCATAATTTTGTAACACCTTTTATGACCTGCAAAAGTCAATGAAGCCTTTTTAGTTATCTCTGGCAGAAGAGATAGCTATACATATTATTAAAGCAAGGAAGTCTACTGTCTTACTCCATTAACTCTCCCCAGTGTCAGCATTCAAAATGAGAAAATATGGACCAGATTGTCCATTTGGTATTACAATTTCAAACTATTACTCAAATATTCCCTGCCACATACAGTTTAAGCATGAACCGTAAGGTGAAATGGTCAAGTTTAATCAGTACAGTACTATGCACCAGAGGACTTTGGTTAGAACACTTTTGTTCAAATTTTAATGTACATTAATAGGGATTACACAGGGTATTAAAAGTTCAGGACCCTGTTCTGTATCTTTTGCGGTTTTTTTGGTACTGGGACTTTGTGGGGAGTGGATTAAAGCCTATGAGAACTGGACACAAGCAAGGTGAGATGCAGTTAATTGCTTTTACCTGTAGGCTGAGATAGGCACAGTCCCTGGCCACAAAACAGGGAAAGGCAGAACAGCTATGTCTCCTAAATTGTGTTCAGGGAAGCAGGAAAGCAGGTTTCTCCTGTTACAATATCACGCCCCTCCCCGTGGCTCCACCCTGTTTGCCGCTATAAAAGACCCCTGAAGGAGGCAGAGGGGCTTTTACTTTTGGGGGCTCTACTTGAGGCTTTTGGATTTTTTGCTTGGCTTTTAGCTTTTTGCTTTGGGGGGCTTTTTGCCTTTGAGTATTGGGAAGAAGCTTTTAGTTTGGGCCTTTTGGTGTGGGAAGTTTTTGGAAGGGAAAAGAGTTATCAAAAGGGAAAATTGCTGAAGAGAAAAGAGTTCTTGAAGGGAAAATTCTAAAGGGAAAATGCTAAAGAGGGGTCTGCACCGAGAACTTTAACATAGGCTTCAGAAAGCAAAGCTGAAAAAGAACTTCATACAGAGGCCTTAGGAAAGCTAAAGCTAAAGAAAAGCCAAAGAGAACACGGGACAGTGCACAGTGCAAGTCTAAGGACCAAGACCTTAAGAGTTATGCAGATGCAGTTTTCAGGCAAGGCTGCTGGTTTGCAAGTTTGAGCACAGAGGCTTTAAGAGAGCTGAAGAGAGATGGGACAGTGCAAGCCTGGGGGCAAAAGACTTTAAGAGCGATTAAGCTAAAGATAAGCTAAGAGCAAACATGGGACAATGTGAATCTCAGGAAAGAGGTTTGAAGCAAGGTTTTAAAGAACTGCAAGACCCCTTGTTCCTTCCTATTATTGCTTATACTCTCTCTACAACAAAATTAGAGATAAGGGCAAAATAGTTTCTGCTGGGTATTGAGGGGGGGAGCGGGAGGGGGTGGAGTGGGTGGTAAGGGAGGGGGTGGGCAGGGGGGAGAAATAAACCAAGCCTTGTATGCACATATGAATAATAAAAGAAAAATGAAAAAAAAAAAAAAATAAAGAACTGCAAGGAGTAAGGCCTTAAAGAATCAAGATAGAGAAGAGAAGCAATGAGGGTTGTGCGTCTCCAGCCCAGCATACAACACACCTGACCCCACCTTTCTGTCTGTCTGTCTGTCCTGTGTCTTTTCTAAAATCTCCAGTCACCCCCAGTTAAGGGTCCAGTAATAACCAAGGAGCGAGAGAGAAAGCTTGCTCCAGCAAGGGAGGGAGCAGGAGAAACTGCCCCTTCAAGGCTTGAACTCAGGGCCTTCACCTTGAGCCACTCCACCAGCCCTATTTTTATGAAGGTTTTTTTCAAGATAGGGTTTAGTGGAACTATTTGCCCAAGCTGGCTTCGAACCACAATCCTCCTGATCTTTGCCTCCTGTGTAGCTAGGATTGCAGGCATGAGCCACCGGAGCCCAGTGTGTTCTCTATCTTTAGAAATTATGATTCATTATTTCCCTCTTGAGTGATTCACGTTCCACTCCCATTTGAAAACCAGTTGTTGGGCTGTCTCTTTGCTCAAGAAGTTCGGCTTTCCACATGTTGAAATTATTCCAGGAATGGGGGAGGGGATAAAGGAAAATGAGTTTTCTCATGGAAAAAACTTATACTTCCATTGTTCACTTACTTCAGTATCACCCAGCCCTGTGTCATTTAAAACATTTCACCTGGGAAAGTATGTTTAACAAGTGCTCACAGAGTGTCTTATCATCAGAAAAAAAAAAAAAGAAAGAAAACAGTCACAAATACAACGTTGTTTTCCAAATAAATAAAAAATAAAATTCTTAAGTTTATACTACCTTGAGTGATTCAGGAAAGTGACTCTTTAATATTTTCTCCAATATCACTAATTTGGTGGAACAGTTTAGTACCATCATCTTCTCCAGAGCTATGCAACTCCACACCTAATTAGAAACTCAAAGAGATACACTTAGTTTTTGCTTGTTAGTATTTGAAACTACTTAGGAATGTGCTTGTAGTCCTATTTCCATTGGGTGTAATCCTAACTTCCCTGGCTCCCTCTGAAGAATGAAGGAAGAAATGGAGAAGCATTGGGATGGGTAAGTCAGGCAATACAGAAATGAACAGTGTTAAAAACCTCATCCTGGACAGAGGAGGCTAACTCTCCTGGGTTAAGTCTTTCTCTTATGCGAATTCAATGTACTCTAAACTCTTCCTTCAGGTCACTTAAGGAAGTTGTAATTTTACAATAATTTTTGTTTATTTAGATTGTCTCAAGTAGCTTATCAGTTGTATAAATTTAGGACCATGCCTGCTTTGTGTGCCACAGGGTGTAGTACACAGTAGGGAGTATCTAAATAGTTGTTGACTAGTATCTGAAGAGTTGTTGAAACTCAGGGTAAAAATCTTGGGGTTAAGTAGATAAATTCCTTTTTCACAAAATGGGCAAAAACTGGAAAAAATAGAGTAGTTCAGGTGTTATAAGGAACAACTTGGACAGAAACACCTAGATGAAAATGAATGATCAGATCCACATGTGATTTGTGTAACTAGATAAAATTAAGAAAAAGTCCCTAAATATGTCATGAAACCTCATGCTTCCTTATGCAATTGCATTTTATAAATGCTATACCTCCCCTGCTTTGTTCTAAAGAAAACTTTCTCTACAACATTCTGAGTAAGACTTGACTGAATCAGGGACCCTTCACTCAATGTTTCAAAGCTTAAACTCTTGACAGCAAAAATAAATCAGTTAAATTTCACAAACTAGTGCTTCTGGGATTATAGGGCAGAGCTAGAATTTTCCCTTTTGACACATTTCCTAGAAAAATTACTCTATTCCTGTACATGGCATACCTGTGTGACTACAAGATATGCAGTGTTTTTGAACTACCTAAAACCCACTGAAAAATTCTATCAGGTTTATGTGAGTGTGAACTCTAAGAAGCATCTGAACAAGACTGATGAACTCAAGTTCATCAAATGGTGTGTTTGTGGTGTCTGTGTTCCCTACAGGAATTAGAAGAGATATCAAGGACCAGAGTAGCACAGAAAATCAGGAGGTTTTGGACCTGAGAACTCATGGTTTTGGTCAATATTAGAGACACTGAAAAGATCAACTTTTCAGATTTTAGGATGAGCAATGAAAGATCATCGTCTCACCTTTGTATCTACTTGACTTTCATTCACTTGTGTCATCTCTAAATAAAATTTTAACTAGTTAAATATTTGTGTGAGACATACTTATTATAATTCAATGTCTGACAGAAAATAAAATGCAATTATTTGATTATGAGTCTTCTTGGAATTGCTGGAGATCAAATCTAGGGCCTTGTCTATGCTAAGGAAGAACTAAACACTGAATCATACCCCAGCCCCTGGGTATGACTCTCTTAATTAGGTTTGATATCTGGGGATCATTATATGAATTTGAACTCAGGAAAGTAAGTGAATTCAAACAGTAGAAATTGCAAGTAATTGTTGCATAAAACCATTTGTGCAAATAAGCAAATTATTTAAGATTAAATTAAAATTCATAAACAGGGAAACTAGAATCAATAGTGAGATTAGCCTACAAAGCACAGTCCTATGCACATAGATGATCTTTTTCATGGTCTGTGTATTTGAGAATTCACCTACTCACAAAAATTTACTTATAACCCTCAAATCAATACTTAGAGCACCACTGCAGTCATTTGCAGCCATTCACAGAGCAGTAAAAAAATTGTGTCCAAACACACACCTTGCAGCTAAGGTCGAACAGGGTACACTCAGTTTTCTTGTTTCAACTGTTGTACTATAAACAACAAGTGTCTTTTCATGGTCTATTTATTTCACATTTTGTGATTTTTGTTGGTGATTTTGCTGTTTAAAATGCCCTCCCACCATCAGAAATAGTGTGTAAATGATGTTTAGATATTTCTAGGTGCAAAAAGGCTGCAATGTGCCTGAAGGAGAAAATAAATGTGTAGATAAGTTTTATTCAGACATGAGTTATAATGTTCTTGACCATGAATTCAATGAAAACAAATCAACCATCCCCATCAAATTATGTCTTTAAACAAAATACACATAAAACAAGGTTATGTATTATCTGCTCATGAAACCAGAGGCTTGCAGGAAATGAAAAATGCATTTCCACTAGAACAATGTTTCAGCATTGGTTGAGTCAATGTTCAATATGATTTTATTGAATGAAATTATCACAAAAAATGAGAATCGACCCTACATGCAGAAGGTGAGAACTCATGTTTGACTAAGCTTTCTAGTAGTTAACATAAGAGAAACAAGTATGATTTTTATATGATTCATATGCCATTAGAATTTCATTATGTTTTTTCCCCTCATAGTTGCTGCCTATTCACTTTTGCCATCTTTCATTACGACAGTTCTCTAAATTTTCTTTTTTGTTGTTGCTGTTTGAGACAGGGTTTCACTGGGTATATCAGGTTGGCCTTATTCATTTTTCTCTTGCTTTAACCTCCCCAGTGCTAGGATTACAGAAAAAAGCCACTACATCCAGTGTAGTTCTTTAATTTCATAATAGTCTAAATCCTCCTTGATTAGGTACCAATCTATCTCTCTAGACTAAGATCTTGCAACTCACAAACAAATTACTCCAGTGACAAATTAAAATCAGAGAGGCAGCTTTCCCATGGGTTTGTAGAGCGGACACTATAATTTACCTGTAACACTTGAAAATACCCATTCAGTAAACAGAGAGAGATTTTTAGAGCTCTTTCATTAAATGTAAAGATTCATTTTTTGAATGCCACAAAACAGAATATGGAAATTCCCATAGATGGAGAAAATATTTTTACAGGTTTTTTATTTATATTATGTAGCATACAAGATCCAATCCACTCAAATACAAGGTCCCCGTAATCAGTATGTGCTTAATATTGCACAGTAAAGATCTGTAACTCCTTTAAGCAAACTGTCTTCAACAACACACTCACTTAGTACAAGTCTTTGTCAAGGGAAAAATTATGTTTTCAGAACTGAAATTTCTTCAGGAATATTTTGAATGTTCATCAGCACAGAGAAAATACCTAAAATATTTTATTGATCAATATTAGTAACAAATTGAAACCTGATTCTTCCTTGGGAAGCTTTTCTTATAAAGAAATAAAACATAACACTTGTTTTTATCCCGAAACACAACATTAACACAACAAGGTTGACATTTTTAATTACGAAAGTGGTTTCTTTTTAAGCACATGCAATCTAGTGTCAGTTGTTTTTCACATTAAGGCTTCTTGTTCAGAGAGATTACTCTTTGTTGCTCTAGTTGTGCTTATACCACGATGCAGAGTTTTATACTTTGTAATGCTTATTTTCCTCATGTCAAAAATTTAAGAAGGAAAGCAAAAATAAACCAGAATAAAACAAAATAGATTTTTTTCCCTGAACTTAATGATAATTCATTCCTTCTGTATAAACTGAATTTCACCTCTTCTCTCTTCCTCCCATTTCATCCGCAAATTACAAAACAATGATTTGGAATGTTTTATTTGAATGCAAAATGCTTACCTTGCTCAGAGTTTAGTCTGAAGCTGAGGTCTTTTAGGTGTGTATCAGTGCAGTAGTTGCTTCTGTATGAAAGGCTTCTTTCCTAATTAGTCCTTGGTGGAAAGAGGAGGGAGGGGAAAAGTGCCCACACCTGTAGAGGGGCGGGATTTATGCTGTTGTTAAGTGAAAATCATCTCAAATATAGAACAGGTATTTTCATTCCAACTCAACTCTCGCTTTCTATCCCATTTAGTCTTATGGTGTGAAAGTCAATGAACTGTAGTCTTGATTTTGACAGGGATATTTTTTAGACATAAAATCTATCTATTCATCAGGACCTCATGGAAGGGAATAAAATAGGAATTAGGACCCAGGCAAATGGGGTATAATAAGAAAATAACATAGGAGATCTGACCCCTTATGTACTTTCAATTATTCTAAAGAAAATGATTTTGTTGCTCTAAAATTCCAAGGCTGAAAGGGGGTAATTCTTAAATAGGGTATTTGTGAAATTGAAAGTAATTTTGAGAATTTTAATTCCTTCACCATTTTAAATGAAAAGTCATCCAGTTTACTTCTCTTGAATGTCCACAATGTCAACACCATGTCACTCCAGCAGCTCAGCACGATGAACTGTACAAATGTCTCCACAGTACATGGAGAGTGCTTCAGTTTGAATGTGGTCACATGTGAGGATGCTGTTTACCATCTTTATGTTTCATGAAATGATAAGTTAGGATCTTCTCTATTAAAAGGCACTGGGCTAAGAAATACAATGGGCAGTGGATATTTGAAAGTAACTGGAGAAAATGCTTGATGTTAACTACCTTGTGACAAAAGAAGAGTTTTTTGCTATTGGTGTACTGACGAAAAAATATTGAGGATGTTACTGAGGGCAATGTATACCAGTTTGTGGCCCTAAAGATCCTATATAAATATAGTCTTATCTAAGTATTAACTGAGCAACACAGACTTAAAAAACTGAACAGAGGTGGTTATTTGCAGAAAATGTTTTATAAGTACAATATCCGAGGGAAAGCCTTTAAACGTTACGGATCAGTTATTTATGGACTCTGAGAGACATAAAAAGTTTTGCCAAATGTAGGTTATATCTTGTTTCCAAGTACATCTAAAAGAAAACTTCTACACTATTTTCAAAGTTGTTTATTCTCTAGAAAACATCAGAACTAATTAGAAGAATTGCTCTTTGCCTAATGGAAAAATAACCACAAAGGCAAAGTATACTTTGCCAGGAAAAGTGCACTGGTTAAAGCTAATTAAATTTGGGATATATCCGTCAGACCTAGGTGAACTTTCAACTTTGAGATTAAAAGGAAAAAGAAAAAGAAGGTGATGAAATAGGGAGGTACCAATATAGGATAAATTTAAAGGGATTTTCTTCTGT